CCCGTGCTGCTGCGGGGGGGGGCCCCTGTGCTGCTGCGGGGGGGCCCCCCCCTAGCCCTGCTTCTATTCCCTCTGCGGCCCTCTCCTAAGGCGCTGCGGGGATTTGCTGCTGCTGGTGCTGCTGGGGCTGGTGCTGCTGCTGCTGCTGCTGCTGCTGCTGGTCTTGGGGGCCTAGGGTCGTGGCCCCTGAGGCTATCGCCGCCTCCACAAACACCTTGCATGCGTCCACGCTCACCGGGCCCCCCAGCTGCTGCAGCAGCAGTTGCTGCTGCTGCTGCTGCTGCTGCTGCTGCTGCTGCGGGGGTCTGTCGCGGTGCCTGTGGGGCCCCCCACGCCCACGGCCTCCAAAGGAATGCTCCGACTGGTACTGACCCCCGCGGGGGCCCCCCGTGCTGCTGCGGGGGGGGCCCCCCGTGCTGCTGCGGGGGGGGGCCCCCGTGCTGCTGCGGGGGGGGGCCCCTGTGCTGCTGCGGGGGGGCCCCCCCCTAGCCCTGCTTCTATTCCCTCTGCGGCCCTCTCCTAAGGCGCTGCGGGGATTTGCTGCTGCTGGTGCTGCTGGGGCTGGTGCTGCTGCTGCTGCTGCTGCTGCTGCGCTGAGTGACATGGTGGCTGGGGGCTCAGCCCAAACCTTACACCCTAAACCCTAAACCCTAAACCCTAAACCCTAGGAAGCAGCCTTTCAAGCTGCTGGTGCTGGAGGAGCAGCGAGGCAGCAGCAGCTCCTGCTGCTGCTGCTGCAGTGCAGCTGCAGCAGGCTGAGAAGGAGACACACCAGGTAGAGCTGATGCAGACACGAGCTGCGCCCGCAAGGTCTGCTGCTGCTGCTGCTGCTGCTGCTATTATTGCTGTTGCTGCTGCTGCTGACAACGCTCCTCAACACTGCTCCTGCAGCTGCTGCCGCTGCATGCACTCGAAATTTCCGCCGCGAGGGCGGCGCAGAGCAGACCACCCGTCTGCTGCTGCTGCTGCTGCTGCTGCTGCTGTGGAGTCGCCGCAGCAATTGTTTTTTAATAGACGTCTTTGACGGCAAAAAATGGAAAGTCTTTGCTAAAAAGGGTTTTGCTGCTGCTACTGCTGCTGCGGCGCCGGGCGCTGTTCTCCAGCGCATGGGACTGCTTCGGCTGCTGCTGTAGCCGCAGCAGCAGCAGCAGCAGCAGCAGCAGCAGCTGCCGGCTATTGCACGCGGCTTCCTTTTCGTTCTCGTCTACAAAGGCGTTATTTCTTTTTTTCCTACAAGTTTATAAGGGAAGGCAGCAGCTGCAACAACTGCATCGGGTGCAGCAGCAGTGGCAGCAGCAGCAACAGCAGCAGCAGCAATTCATACCACCAAGGTATTACTGGCAGTGGCAGCAGCAACAGCAGCACTGACACTCAGCAGCGCCCTCAGGAAAACACGAGCAGCTGGTTGTTGTTGCTGCTGCTGCCATCGCCGCGGCCACAGCAGCCGCTGCTGCTGTTGCTGCTGCTGCTGCTGCAGGTTGAGTTGCTAGAGCATGAGCATCTGGCGGCGTTTTCTTTCGCTGTCTGGGGGCCGCCCCCTGCAGCAGCTGATGTTGCAGCAGCAGCAACAGCAGCAGCTGTTGCAGCTGCAGCAGCTGCAGCAGGCCGTTCCCTTCAGCAGCGGGAAGGTGGTGCTGCCGTGCAAGCTGCCCCCGGGCTTCAAGATGACTGCTGCGCAGCAGCAGCAGCAGCAGCAGCCCCAGTCAGCAGCAGCAGCAGCAGCAGCAAAGGCCAACCGCTTCAGAATTGCTCAAGAGAGAAGAAAGAGGTGTAAACGCACGCACGGCCAAAACGCCATTTACTGATTTCCGCTGCAGCAGCAGCAGCAGCTGCTGCTGCTGCTGCTGTGCGTCAATGTAGCAGCTGCAGCAGCGCGACAAGGACAGCGCGTAAGCTGCGAGCAGCAACTGTTTCGTGGCAGCAACAGCAGCTGCTGCAGCAGCTGCAGCTGATGGCTGCTGCGGCCCGCCGCAGGGGCTAGCAGCAGCAGCTGTAGTTGCTGCTGCTGCGAGCTGCTGCAGAAGAATAGCGTTTGTCAGCAGCAGCAGCAGCAGCAGCAGGTTTGAAGTTAGTCGGAAGTTCTGGGGGCTGGGGCTTCATGTGGAGCAGCAGCAGCAAGTGTTGTTGCTGCTCCCCCTGGTGCTGCAGCAGCAGCAACAGCAGCAGCAGCAGCAGCAGCAGCTGCTGCTGCTGCTTTCACATTCAAGGCTGTACCCTTTAGGGGTCCTCGGCGCAGCTCCAAGGGGCCCCCAGGGGCCCCCCTATATGTTCGCCGCAGCAGGAACTTGACGCCTCTGTGCAGCAGTCATGTTTGCTGCTGCTGCTGCCGCTGCAGCAGCAGCAGCAGCAGCAGCGTTTTTGTTTTTGAGGACCAGAGAGCCTTTTCCTGTTTTTGCCACTGCTTGCCAGGTAGCTGTGGCTAGCTGCAGCAGCTGCAGCAGCTGCAGCAGCCGCAGCTAGCTGCAGCAGCCGCAGCTAGCTGCAGCAGCTGCAGCAGCCGAATCTAGTTGCAACAGCTGTAGCTAGCTGCAGCTAGCTGTAGCTAGCTGCGGCCAGCTGTAGCTAGCTGGAACAGCTGTAGCTAGATCTGGCTAGCTGTAGTTAGTAGATAGCTAGCTGCAGCTAGCTGCAGGTGCTGCAGCTAGCTGTAGCTAGCTGCAGCTAGCTGTAGCTA